TGGGCCCTCAGCACACACCCAATCTGCTGGCATCTTGATCTTGAACTTACCAGCCTGAAGAACTATAAGCCATAAATTTCTGTTGTTTAAGCCACCCAGTCTAAGATACAGTACTTTATTATAGAAGTTTTGTTATAGAAGTAGCAAATTAATGCTCTGTCCATGATATTTTTGTTACAGCAGCTGGAATACACAATGACACCAGCTCTGCTTCCTTCATAACACTCAAATCTGAAATTATGAAATTTATTTTATCACCTGTCTCCTCATACTAGAATGTGAGTTCAATAAGATATACCCTTGTCTTTCTAATTGATCATTACATCTCCTATACCCAGAAAATTCTTGACAATTTATAGCTGTTCAATATGTATCCATGACTAATGGAACAACTTCTCTGAGTAATACAATCAAGAGAAATCTGAGAGGCATGGGGAAGACAGGGAGGCAACTCTGGTGAATGTTGAAGGAGGATCTGCCTGATTTTCCCCTTTCTTCAAGAGTGGTAAATCTGAGAGGGTTGGAAAATTACAAAATTTGTGTAAAGGCAAGCAGGGGGCACAAAGGACTGGCCCAAGATCAGATGAGACAGGCTTGTCTACACCACACAATACAGACACACAAGTGCTCATACAGATATAATGGATTAGCCCTGTGTGAAAGAGAAAGTTGGATTTAGGGCAGGATTGATGGTTTAAATGTTTAAACATTCTTTTATGTAGCAAGCCAAAAATCTCATGAGGATAAATGTACAAATAGACTGCTTAGGGGCATCTAAAATAATATATATCACATTATTCTGCTATATACATTACAGGTCACACGAGGAAACTAAAATTCACTGTAGCTTTGCCCAAATACAGAGAACCATTTAGGGCTAGTCAAAATGATTAGGATTGGTAATTCTGATGCCAGAATGAATGATGGCCTTGATTCAATTGGGTCTTTTTTTTTTTTTTGCCATTTTTAACAGCCATTATTGTTTTATTCGTGTTGGGTTTATCATTATTGCAGTTAACCTCACATTTACTTTGGCTAGTATCCTTTTTTTGAAAGTCTTTGATTTTTCAGTTGGTTTTGATTTATCTTTTTGGTTGCACTCCATTAATAACTTAAATTTGAATAGTGCGTTTCAGCTTACAAAGAATTCATACTATCATTTGTATCCTTGATCTCTCAGTGATAGACAGAAATTATCATTTCTATTTTGTAAGTGGGGAAACTGAGGCTCAGTGAAGATAAGGGACCTGCCAAGATCACAGGCATAAAGAATAGTGGAGCTAGCCAGGTATGATGGTGCACTCCTGTAATCCCAGCACTTGGGAGGCTGAGGCAGGAGGATTGCTGTGAGTTCAAGACCAGCCTGAGCTACATAATGAGTACCAGGTCAGTCTCAACTACATAGTGAGACCCTGTCTCAAAAAAACAAACAAACAAAAAATAGTGGAGCTAAAGTCCAATACACATCTTTTCACTCCTATAATGTGCTTTCCTTATGAAATGACACCCATTACAAAGCCAAACTGACTAGCGAAGATCCAGTGTCAACACATTAGATGTGCTTATATTTATGTCCACATACATGCGCACGCACACACACACACACACACACACACAATCAAAGGAATAAAAATCAAGAACTCACAATATTATGTTCTGCATCCCCAGAAAAAGTAGAGTGGCAAGAAAACCCACTACCACCATTTCTTCCCAGCAGGAATTCCAACACTCCTTGTTCCCCATCAGGTGTTTCTATAATGTTACACAAATCTGATGTTCTTTTGAGTGATTTGAGAGAACCACCACACCACTGTGACCACCAAAAACATCCTCAGAGACAGGAGGGAAATTAGTCGGGATAAGTCAAGAGGTAAATTCTAACCAGGGCCCCCACATAAATATTCAAATTAAAACTGAACAAAGTTTATTTAAATAAGGAGCCAGAAAAATGGCAGACAGCAGACCTTAGAAGGTGGTTTTGGAGGAGGAAGTGGCCAAGCCTCTGAGAGGAAATTTTGGTAGGAAATCAGGATCCCACTGGGTCTTTGGTATTCAACTGGTCTTCCAGGCATTTTGCCTTCTTCCAGTATTTCACTAGAACGTCCTGGTTTAAAGATTAAGTATAATCCAAACATCCACTACACTAAAGAAAAGGTGAAGGGCCAAGCATGCTAGGTTATTACTAAAGACGTTACAAGTTTAGGGTTGGATAATAGAATTCTCTCAGCCCCAAAGGAATTACAGCATAACTCCTAGTTTAGTATTTCTGTATGGATTAACACTGTGAGGTCTCCAGTGACTACCCTAGAGAACTGACTGTTAGAGAAATAGAGGATTTAGAAGAAGAGCATTTTAAGTCCTATTAAAGAAATTTCTTTAGATACACAGAACATGACAAGAAATAAGTCCAAGTACTGATCTTTCAATGAAAATAAAACAAAAAAGATATATAATATCACTGCTTCTCAGCTAAGACCAAGTGTACATCTATGGTATGGGGTAATTTGTGTTTTAAAAGTGGATATTACATTGTATATTCATTGATTTAACTCTGGGAAAATATGGGGAAACAATAAGAAAACCTAATGCTTCAAAGAGAAGGGATTTTAAAGAAGAGAGTATGACAGAAATTGAGATTCTTCTAAATATTCTTTGCTAATCATTAATATTGTGCACATCTATGACCTCTGCTAAAACAGAATAAACTCCTTGAGGTTATGCCCACTGATTATATATTCATCTTTGTAATTCATGGGTAGACCTAGCATTTTTTTCTGGTAAGAATTTTAAAAATTGAGTACTTACGGCAGATGTTCTTTTTCCACCTAAAATAAATTTGACTATTAATAAGCATAAGTCAGTATTGATTCTGTGGCTTTTAACAAATGGATTATAGCCATTCTTTGAGAGAGAATACTGTAACAGCTTTCTATCTGCTGTCACTCTACCACTATATATATTATTCAGAGTACTCTTGAAAGAAATAGCTCTTGAAACTGTTCTGATTTATAAAATAGAGAAAGTTTTATAAATCATTTTGCTGACAAATGTTTCTTCATTTCTTCCCTTAAGGAGAAAAAAGTGATTACTTGGTATATTTAGAAAAATTGGAAAGCCGCGAATTTTGTGGTAGGGATTCATATTAAATATTTTCTTAGATTTTTTTATTAACCAATTCTTCTGTAGCCTGCTCACACTGTTGGCATTAATCTTCAATAGAATGTCACAAATTCAATGTACATTTTCTAAGAAGCGGAAAACGATGATGCAGAATTAAAGTAGAAGAAAACAAATTCCCTTGAAAACAAATTAAATTACAGAAGTGTTTTCTAGACTTTAAAGTTTATGAGAAACTTGCCTTCTATCTTGGTCTCTCTTCATACCACCACCACCCCACGTTTACGATACTCTCCACTACGGTTCTGATTTTCATTAAATCGCTCAACGAAGTGTGAGCAGAGCCGATGCAGGACCCGTTTGGGTGACTAGCGTAGTAGGGCAGGGGGTAGAGAACTGGAGAGTTCAGTGCGTGCCCCAAGCGCCCTCTAGTGTTCATTTGCCTGCTCTTCATTTCCCGGAGCTGTTCGATCTCCCAGAGATGGTGAGCCTTTTCAAGCTTTCAAAGATACAAATAACCTGCTGGGCAACACATGCCAGAAGTTCGCCACCACTTCTTTCAGAGATCTCAAGCTGATTTTTATAAACATAAAACCTCATTTATATTTATTCATTGAACTTCTAATCTGCAAAGCCTGGTATTAAAGGACTTAGAAATAGTTTATTCTTGTGAATCTTCCTCTACTTTACACAACAAATTTGTATTTTAAACTTTCTTTTATTTAAAAAAATACAAACAATGAACTCATAGTCCAATTAGCCAAATTCTAAACTAATGACTCCATAGTAGGTAAAGTAGTAATAAAGAAATGTGCATAATTATGACAGTGAAATTTAAAATGACATTTTAGAACTATTAAATGGAATACCTTCTCTCCAACTCAAAAGACTTCTGCAGTTTTTAGTGTTGTTTGTTTTACATTTACATGTAACTTTGTATTTATTTATGACTATATCAAAGCATCCAAAACACATTGGGCAGATGAAAACTCTCTGCCCCGGAAATAAAGCCTGTAAGTATTTGACTATCTCTATTTAGAATAGAATTTTTATACTTATTAACAAAGACTTTATGGCACTAAGTGTGTGTTGGGAATAGGTTTTGTGCAAATGTGGGACAACCAAAATAAAAGTGGACTAAAGAAGACAAGACTGTTGAGTGTGGTGGTGCATGCCTGTAACCCCAGGGTTTGGAGGCTGAAGCAGGAGGATTGCCAACCTGGACTACACAGCAAGCTCAAGGCCAGCCTGAATTGCATAGGGATACCGTTTCTCAAAAATCAAAGACAAAACTTTATTTCTCTCTTAAGTAGACAAATTGCAAATTTAAAGATTAGTACAGACTAGAGCCTCCTTATTCATCCAGGGCTGAGGTTTCTTCTAGCTTGCTGCTCTATTTTCATCAACACATAGCTTTCACCTCATGGTTTGAGATCCATTTCCTGGCAACATATCCGTGTTCCAAGCAACAAGACGGATGAAGGAAAAAACATGCGCTTTCCTTCTTGTAAGTTGTACCCACAACTACATCCAGTTCACCACACCTAACTAAAATGTCTCTGCTTTGGCCTGCCCTATTCCTAGAAGAAAATTAGGAGTTCCGATATTATGGAAGAGGGGCAAAATTGATACTTGGAGACAACTAGTAGTTTCTGGTATAGCCTATTTTCCAACCAATTACCTTCATTTGACAGATAGCTCCTTTTGTTTGTTTGTTTGTTTGTTTGTTTTTTCTATTAAAGAGTAGATCTTTATTTCATTTACTTTCCACCCATAAAGTTCTAATGATAAAGACTTATTTCCCCTACTTTTCCAGTCTCCAAGGTAACATCAGTGCCTTAGCCTACAATATTTCACCGTGTTGGTGCATTCTTTCTCCACAGGTGATGGCCATACCACCCGGTCTTCTCCAGTTTCTTGGAGTGCTGCTCACCATTTCCCTGACCTCCATCAGGTTCATTCAGGCTGGTGCCTACTATGGGATCAAGCCACTGCCACCTCAGATACCTCCTCAGATGCCACCGCAAATTCCATACCAGCCCCTGGGCCAGCAAGTACCTCATATGCCTCTGGGCAAAGATGGCCTTGCCATGGGCAAAGAGCTGCCTCACTTGCAGTATGGCAAAGAGTATCCACACTTACCCCAATATATGAAGGAGATTCAACCAGTGCCAAGGATGGGCAAAGAAACAGTACCCAAGAAAGGCAAAGGTAATATCATACATGTACATTGTTATAAAACAGTTTTCCAACCTCCATAAAGGTGGACGAAAAGCCTCATTTAAAAAACTTTTATTTTAGAATTTGTTATTGATAGTTATCAAATGCTTACTGGACTCTAAACTTTATTTTTGAAAAGTTCCAATCTTAACGAAAAGTACATGGTTCCATTGCTAGAACCTGAAACAAAATACTTAATCACAAGTAGTTTATTCCTTATTTATTTTTTATTCAAAATTCAGCAGATATCTAATAAATGCCTATTTTTGTGTCAGGCTCTGGGCCATTTGCTGAGAAATAAAGCACTGAGAAGGGAAAAAGAAGAAAAATGAAGTGACAAATCAGTCTTTAGAACTTAGGAAACAATAATGTGAAGACCTTCTGTGTTCAAAGAAAAAGTTATGAAAGCATTTTGCAAACTAGGTGCTAGGTAAATTCATGGGCTTTTAAATATTGCTCTTAATAAGCTATACATGTCAATCAATAATGGACAGAAAATGTACAGACTGCATCTAGAGATGACACCTGAAAATTTGCTTATTATTTTTAGGCCTAATTATTATTTAAGGGTTACAAAATGCCTATCATTGTGATGGGTATTTTCTTATAAATTCAGTAGATGTGTCTGTCATTCTGGAAAACATAATTTAATGCCTACAAAATGCCTATCATTGTGACAGGTATTTTCTTATAAATTCAGTAGATTTGTCTGTCATTCTGGAAAACATAATGTTTGTAGGAAAAAACACAGCGTAGTAATCACCTTTGAGGAGTGGAGATCATCTCAAGCCTCCATAGTAGCAGGAAGTTCCATCTCTAAAGAACTACTCAATTTGGCACTGAGAGGTCTAGATGCCTGGATCCCAGAAATGAGAGAGACCTGGTTATTTGACCTCTCTGAGCCTTTTTTTTTTTTAATGTTTAAAATAAGACTATTGAGAGAATCAATGACAATAAGACAGTGCTCAGCAAACACTAATGCACCATAGGAACTTTGAGTTGGTACAAATGCCATTCAACTAATTCTTAGAACAAAGTATGTTTCAGGCATTGTGTTAGACATCAGAATTCCTGAGGAATAAGATGTGATCCCTCCCCAGATTCTCCCTTGATATAGTAACTAAACAATTCACCGCTTAGAAGTAACATACCTTAATCATACTACATATTGTTTGTTAGCGTAAGAGACGGATTCCCAACTTTACTCTCTTAGGAGGTAGTCTGCCACTTAGGAGGTCATCTCTGCAGTTTTTTCCTTCCTTTCTTGAGTGGTCTGCCTGGCTTTTGGTACTTCCTATGCTTCTTTGAATGGGTACTATTGGAAAATATATATGAGTCCTACAGTTCTGTTTTGTTCCCTGATGGGGTGTGGCGAAGAGTACTGTTGTCGGGATTAGGATGCATCTACTGGTTAACATATTGGGACCACATATTTCATTTCTTCCTACAACCCCTTATTCCCAGTAGAAGGGAGATCCAGTGTTGTGTTTACCTACAAGGCACAGCATAATATAACTTGTGCTTTGTATTTCAGTAACAATTCAAAAAATAGTAACATCTTTTATATGTATTTTCTAATCTGGTAGTGTGTCTTTATTATTTTTGCTATACAGACAGGCAAGCACAGATGCTAGCTTAAGTGACCCAGTCAAGATCTCATGCCAAGGCTACATAGATAAATAGAGCTTCCTCCTCCCAAACTAAGTTCTCTTCCTTATCCATACTGCTGTCATCTTAAAATGTCTTACTCACCTTACTTGTTTAAAAGCCAGATTTGACCAAAAAAAAAAAAAAAAATTAGGCCAGGCATGGTGGCGCATACCTATAATCCCAGCACTTGGGAGGCTGAGGCAGGAGGATCACTGTGAGTTTGAGACCAGCCTGGGCTACATAGTGAGCTCCAGGTCAGTCTCAACTACATAGTGAGACCCTGTCTCAAAAAAACCAAAAAACGACAAAAAAAAAAAACCAGATTGGCACACAAGAAATAATATATTAAAGAATAATATTTGAGGCTTGAAATCCTACAGCATATTAGAGAAATTAAGCAAATTTATTGACTGTATAGGACAAACATGGAAAGGTGCTAATGAATCCCATATAAAGTTAAATACTTCCCTTCTTTCTTAAGTCTGCATGATAATGATTTTTATAACCCACATTATACTATATTTCAGCACATGAGAAAATGTTACTTAGCCCTAAATTATTACATTAAAAACTCAGGTTAGTGCTTGCTTCAGCAGCACATATACTAAAAACTCAGGTTAGGGCTGGGGATTTAGCTCAGCGTTCTGCCACCTGCATCGCAAGCCAAGGACCTGAGTTCAATCCCCAGTACAAAAAAAAAAAAATCAGGTTGGCACATAAAGATAAATATCACATGTTCTCACTTTATATGTGGAATATAAGCAATCAAACTCACAGAACAAGACAGTAGAATAGTAGTTATCAGAGACTTAGAAGAAGCGAGAGAGGATAGTCAAAGGGTATAAAGCTTCAGTTACACTGGAGGAATAAGCTGTTTGGTTTGGGGATTTGCTTTTACTTGTATTGCACAATGTAGTGAATATAGTTAATAATAGTGTATCACAAATTTCAAAAGAGCAGAGGGCAAATTTCAAATGTTGTCACCACAAAAATAAGTATTTAAGGTAATGGGAATGTTAAATACCTTTATTTTAATTTCATATTGTATTCATAAAGTATAATAATATATCATTATAAGTTATTATTATTATCCATTAATGTATATAGCTATTTTTATTTATAATACAATTTTTAAATAAAAAGCAAAAAGATAAGGTCATGAAAAATCTAACTTTAAATAAAAAAAAAAAGCAGAGAATGACTCTAACATTGTTTAAAATACACATATACACATGCACACACACACATACATACCTAAAGATGAGATGAAAATACCTCTGTATTGTGATAAAAAAATACGATGAATATTCTAAAAACATATTACAGTAGAATACACATTACCATTAATCCTCAAAATCAAATATTCCTCCTTTCTTTAAACACACATCCCCCCCCCTTTATTTTACCACTTTCTGAAGCAATTCTGGAAGTTCTCTCTCATGTCTTTAGCTGCACAGTCATGGCTACTTCAATGTCCTGAACTGATTCAAAACATTTACATTTCATGGTTATTTTGACTTAGGAATGATTCCAAAGTTGCACACCAGATCCAGTGAATAAGATAATTGAGAACACATCATAATGTTTCTCCCAGGATGCTTTTCTTTAGATGGCAGTCAGCAACAGCATTTACTGTATTTTTATCCTACCTCATAAAGATATTCTTGAAAGAGAACTTCCAGAACTGCTTTAGAAAGTCATAAGGATAACGGGAGAAGTGTTCAAAGCAAAGAGGAGGATTCTGAGGAGGATTAATGACAATGTGTCTGACTATAATAAAATTTTTAAATGCAAACATTCATCATATATTTTGATTCAACCCTTGTGTGTCAAGTATTTATCTCTGAGTAGTGGGCTTATAGGCAATCTAAAATTTTTCTTACACAATTTTGAACTTTCAAATTCTCTATCAAGAACATATCATATAGCCAGAGATTGTAGCTCAATGGTGCTGAGCCTGCCTCGCAAGCACAAGATCCTGAGTTAGAACCCCAGTACCAGGAACAGGAAAAAAAAAAAAGAAGAATATATCATAGTATTTTCAAGTCCTGTACTGGGAAAAATGTTTCTTATGTTTTAGCTTTTTAACCAATGCTAATATTAGCAGCTGTACATATTATTTCTTAAAATAATACTTTAAGTATTCAAAGAAATTACCAGATTGACTTACCTTTAATATTGATATCATACAGTCCTAGAAGATGAATGTATTATTTCTAGTCTTTTTTTTATTAAAAGGCACACATGTCAGAATTAATGATTTGATTACTTGCTTGAACTGATGGATATTCAAAATCAAACTCACTCTCTCTCTCTCTCTCTCTCTCTCTCTCTCAGTAGAAATACCATTAGCCAGTTTACGAGGAGAACAAGGTCCCCGTGGAGAACCTGGCCCAAGAGGGCCACCTGGACCTCCTGGTTTGCCGGGTCATGGGATCCCTGGAATCAAAGGAAAACCAGGGCCACAAGGCTATCCAGGAGTTGGAAAGCCAGGTATGCCTGGAATGCCAGGGAAGCCAGGAGCCATGGGAATGCCTGGGGCAAAAGGTGAAATTGGACCCAAAGGGGAAATTGGGCCTATGGGGATTCCAGGACCACAAGGACCTCCAGGGCCTCATGGACTTCCTGGCATTGGGAAGCCAGGTGGACCAGGATTACCAGGACAGCCAGGAGCAAAGGGTGATCGTGGACCCAAAGGACCATCAGGACCTCCAGGCCTCCAAGGTCCTAAAGGAGAGAAGGGCTTCGGGATGCCAGGTTTGCCAGGTCTGAAGGGCCCTCCAGGAATTCATGGCCCTCCTGGCCCCGTTGGACTGCCAGGAGTGGGAAAACCAGGAGTCACAGGCTTCCCTGGGCCCCAAGGCCCCTTGGGGAAGCCAGGGCCTCCAGGGGAAGCTGGCCCACAAGGACCTATTGGGGTACCAGGTGCTCAAGGACCCCCTGGAATGCCTGGACTTGGAAAACCAGGCCAGGATGGGATCCCTGGCCAGCCAGGATTTCCAGGTGGCAAAGGGGAACAAGGACTACCAGGGGTGCCAGGACCCCCAGGCCTTCCAGGAGTGGGGAAACCAGGCTTCCCAGGGCCCAAAGGTGACAGGGGTGTTGGGGGTATTCCTGGGGCTCTTGGACCCAGAGGAGAGAAAGGGCCAGTAGGTGCCCCTGGAATGGGGGGTCCCCCAGGAGAGCCAGGCCTGCCTGGAATCCCTGGTCCTATGGGCCCTCCTGGTACTATTGGTTTCCCTGGACCCAAAGGAGAAGGTGGAGTTGTGGGGCCCCAAGGTCCACCAGGTCCCAAGGGTGAGCCAGGGCTTCAAGGCTTTCCAGGAAAGCCAGGTTTCCTTGGTGAAGTGGGACCTCCCGGTATGAGAGGTTTGCCAGGTCCCATAGGGCCTAAGGGTGAAATTGGCCACAAAGGATTGCCAGGGCTTCCTGGTGTTCCAGGGCTGCTCGGACCCAAGGGAGAACCAGGCATCCCAGGGGATCAGGGTCTCCAGGGGCCCCCAGGTATCCCAGGAATTGGAGGCCCTAGTGGCCCCATTGGGCCACCTGGAATTCCAGGTCCAAAAGGGGAACCAGGTCTCCCAGGGCCCCCTGGGTTCCCTGGTGTAGGGAAGCCTGGAGTGGCAGGACTTCATGGGCCCCCAGGGAAGCCTGGTGCCCTTGGTCCTCAAGGTCAGCCTGGCCTTCCAGGGCCCCCGGGACCTCCAGGACCACCTGGTCCTCCAGCTGTGATGCCCGCTACACCACCTCCCCAGGGAGAATATCTGCCAGATATGGGGCTAGGAATTGATGGTGTGAAACCTCCCCATGCCTATGGGGCTAAAAAAGGCAAGAATGGAGGGCCAGCCTATGAAATGCCTGCATTTACAGCGGAGCTGACTGCACCCTTCCCGCCAGTGGGGGCCCCAGTGAAGTTTGACAAGCTGCTTTATAATGGCAGACAGAACTACAACCCCCAGACTGGCATCTTCACCTGTGAGGTCCCTGGTGTCTACTACTTCGCTTACCACGTTCACTGCAAGGGCGGCAACGTGTGGGTTGCTCTCTTCAAGAACAATGAGCCCATGATGTACACATATGATGAGTACAAAAAGGGCTTTCTGGACCAAGCATCTGGGAGTGCCGTGCTGCTGCTCAGGCCTGGAGACAGGGTGTTCCTCCAGATGCCCTCAGAACAGGCTGCTGGACTGTATGCGGGGCAGTACGTCCATTCCTCCTTTTCAGGATATTTATTGTATCCCATGTAAAAAATAAAATGAAAGAGATTTAATAGAAGAAAAGGAGACATCAAAAATACAAATGAAAACAATTGCTTCAAAACATTTATATAGTTGGAAAGTTATATTTAAGTGAAAATTTGGACCATCTTGTACAAATAAAAACTAAGATGCATGTTAAATACTCTGCACAGCAGCTTGTAATTGAAAATGATGGGATAGATTTACATACCAAGTACTGACACTTATGTTGTACCCACTGGAATCATGTTAGCTGTTGTATGTTATATGCTTCCATGATAACCTGCTTATTCAGATCAGTCAAAATATGTCAGTATGAGAGGTCATAGCTGATGAAAGTCACCCACTCATATTGTTTCTTTTAAAGTATTTATAAATATGCCTTTAAAAATGTCCACAATTACATACTGCTTTTACTTGCATAATTTTCTCTCTATCTGTGCATACCAAATGTATGTGTGGCAGAGGGCAGGAAGTCTGTAATGCTACTATCTCAGTAGGATGAAGGGAGAAATGGAAATGATGGTAGTTTGTAGTCCAAGGGATATTTCTCTCCTATTCAAGGCTGTCTTTTAGCAGTTCTGTCTTTAGTCAGAACTGTGTGTCAGAGAGCTCTCTGAAAGGACACGCAAACCAGACAATCATCATATACATGCTCAGCACCTCCTCTGTGCAGAACATTGAGATGCTAGACTGGGGCCTAAGTCTACAAGGAGCTTACAAACCAGCTAGAGACATGAGTAATGATTAACTCATTCATTCCTCAAGGGTTTCTTCTGCTTTTTTTTTCCAGTGACTTCTTTTTCTTTTTCTCCTTCTGTGTAATCTCTTTTCAATATGGCCCTACCCATATAAATACCCAGAAGTGATAAGGAAAACAAAGTAACCCTTCCTCTACAGTATAACTTGCCAGTTTTGTGGACTATTTATTATTAAAGCATATACTGTGTTTACATGCATTAAAATATCCCCTCCTTTGTCTCCACACATAAACCACAATGAAGTATTAATCATGGAGATATCAGTATTTTTAGTAGCTGTGAATTGGAGAAATGTCCCTATTTAGTAGAATTGCAAACTGATATGTCATCTGACCTTCTAAAGTCAATTTCCAAAATCCAAATCATTTTTTTTATTTGGGGGAAACATCAGAATTCATAGTTAAGTAAATTTGTGTTTAAAAATAATCTTGAAGTTTGACATTTAAAAGTAAGTGTGATTTTCCACGTGATGGGGGTGGTACTGAAATTGTAGGACAATATCTGTTTATCAGTAAACTGAAAAAGACAGCTGAAGTAAAAAAATAATTAAAAATTTTTAGAAAGACAGCTGAAGTGTCACAAGGTAACAGTAGTCCATGTCTTTTACGTCACCTCATACTCAGCACAAGTCAACAACTAAAACAGATTTGACAGAGAGAAGTAAATGTTTTGCCAGATTTTTCACTCTAGCGCATACTAACTAGCATTGCTCCAAACATAGACATTTTCAAGTCCACTTTTACCCACTATGAACATTATACGCCTCTTGAGGAAATAATGTGGGATTATGGTAATAGAGTCTTACATATTTTTATTTAAAACTAAAAGAACAAGAAGTAGAGGGGAATACAAAAATAAATACTAAATACTACATAGAAACACATGGAAATGTTTCTATGTCAAATATGAATCAGTGGTAGAGCTCTCACTTAACACACACAAGACCCTGGATTAAACCACAGCACCACACACACAAAAATAGGCATCATTTTTACTATGACAAAAACTCTTGGTCTAATAAGTATCTTTTTTTTCTATACAGTACACAAGCACCATTTCTTCTGAATTCTTTTTTTTTTTTTTTTTTTTTTTTTTTTTTTTTTGTACCCTGGCCAGCCAGGTGTGGTGCCACTGAGCTAAATACCCAGCCCACTATTTATTCTTAGTTCTTAAGAAAAATGAGTTTATTACTGCAAGCTTTCCTATTCACTGATAATTTTGTAACTGTTTTCCCATCAAAAGATGCCCTACCCAACCTTCATTTTCAAAGCAAGCAGCATTTATGTGGCCAGATATTCTTTGGGTTGGTCTTGAGGTTGCTGGTTTTGGTCTGGTAACTACAGAGGTAGCATGCATGGATCTCTCCTTCTGATAAGTAGCTGCATTGAAATGACTTAGAAGCATGTCAGACCAATTGATTGGTACAGCTGTATTTATCTTCACATGTATGGACTATTTATTTCCAACAAGCAAGAGAGAAATTACCTCTTTAGTTACACCCAAGTTTCACTTCTCAAAATAT